TCCCAAAGGCTCCAAAAAAGTCACCCAAAGGCCACACAACGACTGCCCTAAGACGGCCCGAGATGGCCCCCAAAAGGCCCCCCAAACCCCCAAGACGGCCCAAGGGGGCCCCAAGAGCGCCCACAAGAGCGCCTCCAGATGCCAAAATCATTGATTTTCCTATTGTTCTAAACAGATTGTAGCGTTCTCGCCTTCTCCGCCTCCCAGAAGCCCATGACGGCCCAAGCAGCCTCCAAGATGGCCCCAAGAAGGCCCAAGAAACACCCAAGGGGGGCCCGAAAATGCAACGTATCCAACGGATCCTATGGATCTAATGATTCAAGATTGCTACATGTTGTATTGTTTTACATTATGATGTCTCCCCCTCGAACCCCCTTTGGAGTCGCGCCACTACGCCGTACCAAAGTGACGGCCCCAATTCTGGTGTTTTCTTTCTCTCTTTCTCTCTCTCTCTCTCTCTCTCTCTCTCTCTCTCTCTCTCTCTCTCTCTCTCTATATATATGTATAACAAGTTCGGTGTTTAGGGTCTCTTTGGGACTCCAAGAAGGTCTCCATATGGCCCGGGGTGGCTCCAAGACGGTTAACAACGCACTCAAGACGGCCCAAGATGGCCCAAGAACGGCCAGAAAGCTCCCCAAGACGGCCCAGGAGGGCACCGAGAGCACCCCCAAGAACGCACCCAGAGGCCAAAATCAATGATTTTCCAAAAGTGTTTGAAGGATTTGGGCGTTCTCGCCTTTTTCGATTGTCAGAAGCCACGGCCCAAACAGCTTCCAACATTTCCCTCAGACCGCCCCAGAAGCGCCCACGGGAGCCCAAAGACGGCTCCAGAGGGCCCCAAGACGGCCCAATGAACCCCCCAAAACAACCCAAAAAAACCCAAGACGGCCAAAGAGGACCCCAAAAGAGCCCCAAGGCGGCCGTGAGAGCCACCCAAGACGGCCTCCGATGGGGCGAAACGGAAAAAAATCGCACCATCACGGCACAAGACACCCCCAAGAGGCTCCAGGAGGCACCCAAGAAGCCCCCAAGAAGCCCCCAAGAGGCCTCCAAGGGTCTCCCTCCCAAAAGGCCCCACAACGACTGCACTGAGCGGCCAGCTGACGGTCTGGACCAGGTGCAGCACGTGGCTCATCGCACGAACTCCACTGGGCGCAGCGCGCCTCCAAGTGCAGGCCACGACTTGACTGTACGTACTCCGGACGTGCACCCCGCGAAGCGAAAGGAATCCACGTCAGGAAGTGACGTGCTGAGCGGCAGCGTTTTCCGCGGATGCTGTAATGCAGTGGATCCAATGTGTCCAACGTTTGCATAATTCCCATATACTGTATTGTGTGACATCATTATGTATCCCCCCCTAACCCCCCCCCTGCAGTCGCGCCACATGAACGGACCAAAATGGCCCCCTCCTCTCGGAGGCCTTAAAACCAACAGCAACCCATGAACAAATCAACAAATTCGGCCTCTTGGGCCTCTTGGGGCTCCAAGAGGGCCTCAAGATGGCCCACAATGGCCCCAAAACGGCCCAAGATATTCCCAACGGGGGCCCATGAGGCCCCCAAAACGGCCCCAAAAGCTCCAAGGACGGCCCAAGAGGGCCCCAAGAGCGCCCACAACTGCGCCTCCAGAGGCCGAAATCATTGATTTCCCGATGGTTCTTGGATATTTTAGCGTTCTCGTCTTTTTCGACTTTTACAAATCCATGACGGCCCAAGCAGTTTCCGGAATCGCCCCAAAACAAATCAAAAGCCTCCAAGAGGGCCCCAAGACGGCCCAGGAGGGCCCCAAAACGGCCCCAAGAGGCCCCCAAGACGGTCCAAGAGGCCGCGAAGACGGCCCAAGAGGACCCCAAGAGGGCTCCAATGCGGCCGCGAGAGGCCCCCAGGACAGCCTCCGAGGGGGCGAAACGGCGCAAAAGCGCCAAGACGGCCGAAGACGCCCCGAAGAGGCCCCAAGAGGCCTCCAAGAAGCCTCCAAGAAGCCCCCCAGAAGCCTCCTAAAGGCTTCCAAAAAGCCCCCCAAAGGCCACACAGCGACTGGAGTGTAATGTTATTTTCCCCCCTCTGGGCGAACTGCGGCGCAGCGCCAGCCAGGTGGAAGTTGGTCACTGCGGTGCCCATGATTAGAGCCGGCGCTGGAAGGGAAGATGGGGAAGGTGTATGAAAAGGAGGGAGGGGGGAAAGGCCCCAAAGAAGTCCCCAAGAGGCCAAAAGAAACTCCCAGGAGGCCTCCAGGAGGCCCCCAAAAGGCTCCCAAGAGGCCCCGCGACGACGTGACTGTACGTGCTCCGGACGTGCACCCCGCGAAGCGAGAGGAATCACCCAGGCTCCGATTGGACGAGCGCCAGCCTCCGTGCGGGGCACTGGCTGAAGTTGGAGCTTAGTGAGGTCGAGGGGGCACGAGCGATCTTATACTGTCCCTGGGTGTGGCTGAAGCAGCTGTAATTGGGTGGCGCGGTGCGGGTCGCCTTTGAACCCTTAGTCGCGACGAACATGTTTTTGCTGATACCCGTCACTGGTGCCCATTGGCATTTCTTTCTTGCAGTGCGTCCCCCGACGCTCGCACCCAAGCTCAAACTGCGTTGTTGACCTCCCCAGCTACAGCAACAATCATTTTGAGACTGCTCTCTCTTTCTCTTGCTTGCCCGCGTGCCACCAGGCATGTATGCCCCACGCCCTCGATTTCAGCCCTCCTTGTCTTCGATGATAAGGCTCCCTTGGGGGGAACCCTGCGGCGGCTGGCGAACCCTGCGGCGGCTGGCGAACCCTGAAATCCGACGATGCTAAGAAATGCGGCATGGCAACAACAATCTTTCTGCGGCATCTGTCGAGCCGCATCGATATGTAATGGCCCCCGGGGCCCGAGAAAAAGGCGAAAACGCCCGGCGTGGTACAGATGCAGCGCCCAAATCTCAAGGAACTGAGGCAGACAGGCGGACGGGTAGACTCAAAACAGCCGGTCGGGTTGGCCCAGGCGGGCCTTGCGCAAGGGTCCATACTCAGTGCTGTCCAAGGCTCTCGGGGGCACGCTTCCAGATCGGTGGACGTGGGTCCCTTCCTGGCGCTGGAGGAGGAGGAGGAGGAGGAGGAGGAGGAGGAGGAGGCGGAGGAGGCGGAGGCGGAGGCGGAGGCGGAGGCGGAGGAGGAGGCGGAGGAGGCGGAGGAGGAGGAGGAGGAGGAGGAGGAGGAGGAGAAGGGGGAGGAGGAGGAGGAGGAGGAGGAGGAGGAGGAGGAGGAGGAGGAGGAGCAGGAGGAGAAGGGGGAGGAGGCAGGGGAGGGCGCCGGCGGAGAGGAGCGAGGGGCACACAGGGGGGGAGGGAGGCGAGCCCTGAGAGCCGACCCTGCGGAAGAATGGCAGCACCGCAGCAGCTCGCGGCCCGAGCCCCGGACCCCAGCCTTCTGCCACAATTTTCGAGCCGGATCGATACGCGATGGCCCCGGAGCCCGAAAACGGGCGCGAACGCCTGGCAGGGAACATCGCCACGCCTGGATCTCGGGGGGGGGAGGGACGCGAAGAGATGCGAAGGGGCACCTCCCTCCATGAGCATCGTTCTGCCGACCCCAATCCCCATGGGCGTGGCCTGTGCCCCACTGGCGATGTGCCCCCCTAGTTGGAGATGCACGCCGTTCCCTGCGGGTTTCGACGGGCCTGTCCCCAACTGGTGAGATGAGAATGGGGATAGGAATTGGGAAGACCAAAAGGATACCGATACCGCTACTCCCCTGACCTCTCCCGGGGTGCGTTCTGACCAGGATTTCGAAGCGAATCCAGCAGTGGCGCCGAGGGAGACCTAGGAGGCCCAAAAAGGGAAAACGAGGGGAGGGTGGAGGTATGGGTTCCTTTTCCTCCTCTGAGGAATCGGTCAAACGATGTTGACTCCAAGCGGCCGCCACAAATCATCGCGACGTGCGAGGCGCGGCGGCGCAGCCCAGGGCGCTCTGCGCCGCACCCCAGGCTCTTCGGGGGCGGCCAAGAGGGGGGCGTCCAGGAGGGGGGGGTGCAAGTCATGACCGGCGGCACGTGCGCGGCCCAGGGGGGGGGGCAGGGACGCACTAAAACAAGACGAGGCGCCATGAGATCAGGGGAGATATCATGGCCCACGCCATGATACACGCTGGTCGGAAGAAGTGGGTTGAAACATGAAGTAGGACGGCGTTGGAAGTAGATTGGGCTTCCACCCGCCCCCCTAAAGAGGAGGAAAGAAGGAACACCGCTCGACTCTTGAAGCAGGAAGGCGCCCAAAGCAGATTAGGATTCGGGCATGCGAAAATGCCTACTTCCAACGACCGGCGTGTATCCCCCCCCCCCTAGTCATCACCCCCCTCTCTGCCGCCCACGGGCACTCCCCGCCACGGAGGCCAGGCCGGGGCCTTCCCGAGGCCGCGCACGGCCGCTCCAGCAGCGCGGGGCCAGGCTCCGGGAGGGCCCGTCTCTGCGAGCGGCCGCCGCCGCTCCCGTGGCGGGAGAAGGGATCGAGACGTCCACGGGGCCCACGCTGTAAGCAGATCGTGGCTCCGGGAGTCTGGGGAGGGGAGGGGCAGGGATTGATAGGGGGGGACCTGGGGAGGGGAGGGGAGGGGAGGGGGGTCTGGGGGTCTCTGGGGTTCTGGGGAGGGGAGGGGAAGGGGCTGACGGGGGTCGGCGGCGACGACAGGGGCGAATAGTCGCCCTGGGAGCCTCGCCGAAGACAGGAGTCATCAGCGCCCCTGGATGCATGTATTGAGCATCGTTTATCCGACCCCCATCCCCAGCGGCGTGGCCTGGGCCCCACTGGCCGATTTACCCCCCTAGATGGGGATCTAGGCTGTTCCCTTCGGGTTTCGAGGGGTGTATCCCCAACTGGGGTGGTAATTTGGTGGGGGTCTCGAAGGCGATGAGGATGGGGATGGGGGTCGGTTAAACGATACTGGTGTCCTACCCCCCCGAGGGCTGTTCGCCCCTGTCGTCGCCCCTCCGATGGGGTAGGGCGGGTGGGTGGGAGCTGCCGCGCCGCCCCCCGCTCACGGCTTGACAGTCAGCTTGAAGCCGTACTCCTAGAAACAGAAAGGCCGCGTCGACATAATTAAACGGTCGGGGCTCCGCGCGGATTTCTTGGCTCGGCCAGGGCCCCCCCTGGCAGCGCCTGTGGCGCCGCCTCCGGCGCGCCAGAGGCGCCGCCAGGATGGGGTGGCCAGCGCTGATCCAAGAGATCCGCGCGGACCTCCGAAAGCTTAGGTTTATGCCGTTTTCTGTCCGTCGAACTCCTGGTCGCAGCCCTGGTAGGAGTCCGACATGAGGTACAGCGTGTAGTCGAAGGTTCCCGCCTCCTCGCCGAGCTCGACGTCCAGCTTGACGTTCACGGTCGCCTTGGTGATGGTGGTCCTCTTGATCGCCACCAGGGCACTGTTGGGCCCACCGACCACAAGCCACCAACTCTCCTCCTTCTCTGGGACGGCTTCGGGTTGTGCACAGACATTCCCCTCAGGTAGTCCCAGCTTTCGTGCGTGTATGTTTCGCAAGGTGATCCAGGACGCTCCTCGATGACCCTCGCCAGAAAAAAATCGGCGAAAGCCACCGAGGAGCATTTAACGCATCTAACGCACATGTCTCAACGTGTGCAAATACCTATGCACACGTCCGAGCGATACAAAGGACCCCCAACGGGGCGGGGTAGTCCCAGCTGGCCTCAGCAGGCCCCCCGAGTACCCTGGGGTGGCCTCAACATCCTGGCGCCACCTCGGACGACGCCTCTGGGGAGCTCCACGCCCGGAGGTTAGGGTCTTGAAGCCGCCCTGAACTACTCCGGGGGCCTGTACCTCGTAGAGCTCTTGGTTCGACCAGAGCTAGAGGATTTCGGCGACAGGCTGGAGCTAGCTGGCGGACCCGGGCAGAAGAGACAATGTGATGACCTGGGGTCGGTTTTCCGAAGACTGCTCGAAATTTGAACATTTACTTTGAGAAGCCAGATTTTTACTCCAAACATTAGCATATTTAGAATCTGCCGGTGAAAATTCCAGGGCCGTAACTCCAATATTCCTATATATTCACTGCCGGGAACCGACCTTCAGAAAGTAAGATGTTGTGCGCACCATGGACACAATCTCAAGATTTAGAGCAGGTGCAGAGGTTCCTTGTATACAAGTAGCTTGAGAGCATCGGGAGCATTAGTTTAGAGACTCGAGAAGCCTGAGATCGGTCTGCTACTCGAGCTATGGCCGAACAACTATTTGTACTCTGCAACTTTTTGGGGCATTTTTTCGCTTTTTCGACATCATCTCGAGATTCAGTGCAGCTGCAGAGGTTTCATGCATAAGAAAAGGTGCAGCAGTACCGGACGTATTTGTAGACATGCTCGAAAAGCCTGAGATCGGTCTTCTTCTCGAGCTATGGTCGAAAACCTACTCGCACTTTGCAATTAGTTTGGGCACATGTTCTGTGTTCCGACTTGATCCCGATATTTACAGCAGCTACAGAAGTTTCATGTGTAGTAATAGCTTCAGCAGCATCGACAGCATTAGTATGGAGGGTCGAGACGCCTGAGATGAGTCTGCTTCTCGAGCTATGGCTGAAACGCTACTCGCACTCTGCAACTTTTAGGGGTACATGCTCGGTCTTTCGACTTGATCTCGAGATTGGAGCAGCCACAGAGATTTTAGGTGTTTTAATGGCTCCAGCAGCATCAAAAGCATTAGTCCAGAGGGTCGAGAAGCCTGAGATTTGTCTGCCTCTCGACCTATGACCGAACAGGTATTAGCGGGGCAACGGTTATTTTACTTAATCTCGAGATTTAGAGCAGCTGCTGAGCTCTTAGTCACAGAAATCATTCACGCGGGTTTACGCGAGAGGCGCCCTTATGAGTTATGATTGAAACCTAACTCCATTGCAATCGCTTATGCGATCATGTGTACAAGTGTCTCTGCTCGGACAGAAACGATGCTTCCGCCTTGGGAAGAATATTTCGGCTGCCCTTTGAGATTTTTTCGGAACGCGCGGAGCGCTACGAGGGTTCCGGCGGTAACCAAGTTGACGGTTTACTGCCGGCGCCCAGTTGAGGCCAGCCGGGAATACCTGAGGGGGCTGTCTGTGCGCAAACTGAAGCCGCACCATCCTTCTCCCTCGGGTAGTACGGCGCGAAGACTGGGCCCAGCGCCGTGTCCTCGTCCATGCCGTCGCGCCCGAGGCGCACGACGATGCGGGCGCTGCCGCCAGTGTTCAGGGCGTCGGAATTCTGAATCTTGTACTCGAGGGAGATGCACGGGAAGCGGTTGCACGCCCGGGCGACGTCCATCAGGTCGCTCTCCTGGAGCGCGCTGAAGAGCTTGCCGCGCGGCCCGTCCTCCATATTCATGACGTCGAACACGTCCTCCACCTTCATGCCCTTGGCCTTGTCGACCAGGGCCTGCGTGAAGTGGGGCAGCTGCATCAGAGGGCTAGAGTTCGACGTGGTCGCCTGGACGATCATCTGCGACAGCTCCATGGAGAACAGCGCTGGCGTGAGCCATCCGCACGAGGAGATGACGTCCACCAGGCCCTGCAGCAGGCGAACCGCGTGGTCCAGGATGAACCGCTGGTCGGACGAGAGGTCGGTGGTGATGGGCGTGCGGTTGAAGTGGGCATTGAGCAGGAGCTGCGCCTTGGTGTGCGGATCGGTCAGCTTGTCCTTGTCGACCTTGATGCCCAGGGACTGCGCAAGGCCGCGCAGCGTGGCTTCCTCCCCGGAGCGCACGGGAACGCTGTCGAACTCGGACGCGGCGCAGAGGATGTCCATGAGCCCGCGCCTCTTGGTCTCCTCGTTGACGCACCTGGAAAACGTCTCGATGGTGGTGTGGCGGATGTAGTAGTAGGCCGCGATCAGCCCCAGGTTCGCTGGGGCCAGCTCGACGTCGTCTTCGATGCTGCAGCAGCCGAACCTCTCCAGGCCCTCCACGGTGTTCTCCACCACCTCGGACAGGTGGTCGCTCAGGTGCTGGTGCGTCACGCCCTGAAGCCCGTAGTAGTTCGGGTTCTGGGAGAGCCTGCGGTAGTAGAACGTCCACGTGAGCCAGTCGACGGCGTCCTGCTTGTTCTCGATCGTCTTCATCACGATCTCGGCGTTCATGTGGTCCGCCATGCGCTGGTCGAGGTGACTCTCGACAGGAAGCGGCTCGTAGATGAACTTCTTGTAGTACTCCTTCTTCGAGTTCTGCGTCAGCAGCACACACATGCCAGACGTGTCAACGCCAGGGCGGCTGGCGCGGCCCATCATCTGAAGGACGTCATGGATCGGGTAGTCCACGTACCGATTCTCGCGCCCATCGAACTTCTTCGTGTCCATCACGATCACGAGGTGTGCGAGCATCGTCATGCCCCAGGAGAGCTGCTCCGTGGCCACGACGACCTGGATCGCGCCCGCCTCGAATAGCCGCTCGATCACCGCGCGCTCTGTCGTGCTGAAGCCCTCGTGCAGGAAGCCGACGCCGTACTCCAGCGTCTGCTTCAGAGAGCGCTCGCGGGCGGCGGCCAGGTGCGGCTTCATGGCCTCGTCCGACACGTGCAGGAAGCGCTTGGGCTTGTCGTCCGCCGCCGCATGCAGGAGCAGGTCGATGGCCGTCATGCGGGCCTGCTTGCGGTCGGGCACGAATACGATCACTGGCTTGTCTGGCGAGTAATGCTTAATGGACTGGTAGACTGGCCGGCTCATCGCCAGCAGCCGGGTCGCGCGGTGGTGGATGTCAAAGCCCTGGATCACCATCTCGAGGGGAACGGTGCGCACGTTCGGGGAGAAGTTGAAGCCGCCGCCGGCGGGCGCGCCGATCCACTCGCCGACGTCCTTCGCGTTCGCGAGCGAGGCCGCGAGCGCCACGATGCGGATGGGGGACTGCACCTGCACCGAGATGTAGCGCATGCGGCTCACAACGGCCTCGATGGTGGGGCCCACGTCGCTGTCGAGCAGGTGCAGCTCGTCCACCACGAAGAGGCGCACCTCCTGAACGCTCTTGCGGGTCTTCCAGCGGCGGCTCATCAGGTCCCACTTCTCCGGGGTCGTGATGACGACGTTGGACTCCTCCAGGATCTTCACATCCGCGGTCGTCTCCCCGATCAGCTCGGAGACCTTGAAGCCGAGCACCTTCCCGAACTTGTGCGACCACTCGTTGAACCGCTCCTTGGCGGTGGCCGCGTGGGGCGCCACGTAGACGCACCGCTTGACCGCGTCGTCGCTCTGGAGCATCCTCAGCACGGCGAACTCCGCGCACACGATCTTCCCGCTGGCGGCTGGCGCGCAGATGAGGCAGTTGTCGCTCGTTGAATACAGGGTGCTGAAGGTCTGGGTCTGGATTGGGTTGAAGACCTTGAGGCCCGCGGCCGCGTACAGCTGTTCCGCCGCGGGGTAGCGCAGCGCCGTGAGTGGCAGTGGCTGCAGGTCGAGCAGCTCCGTGTGCGGCGGGTATTTCTCGGGCAGGATGAGGTGCCGGAAGGAGACGGGAAGCAACGTCTGCGCGTTGATCCACCGGTCCGACACGACCCGGATGAAATACTGGGGCGGCAGGGGCTCCGTGATGGGCACCGTGAAGTTCAGCGTGTGCTCCTCCTCTGCGCCGCGCTCCTTCAACACGAACATCTCCTGGTGGAGGATCTGCTCGCCGTTCACGTCCTCCACGAAAACCCAGAACGGTTCCGCGCGGCCGTGCACTCGCGCGTCCCACTGGAAGTCCGGGGTGATCGTCAGCTCCACCATGAGGCAGGACCTGGTGATCGGTTGCACGTACGCGCTGAGGTCCAGCTTTGGGAACTGGTGGACAAGCTTGTGGATGGTTTTGCCCATCTTAGGGAAGCGGATCAGCTCCCCGATCTCGGCGCTGGACAGGTCGTAGTAGCGCTCCCAGGCGAAGTCCTTCTTCTCCACCTTGCGCAGGATGTCCTCGGCGAGACCCTTGAAATGGCGCAGAGGTGTCTGCGATCCCCACATCCGCTTGTCGATCATCTTGCACCACTGCAAGGCGCGAAGGGCCAGCGCGGCCCAGCCTCTGCGGAGGCAGATCTCGAAGATCGCGCGCATGATGCGTCCCGCAGACTGCTGCACGTAAACCATGTCGGACATCAGCGCGAACCCGTCCAATTTCAGCTTGGAGATGTAAGCCTGGAGCAGCACATTCACCTTGGAGGACGGCTCGTCGGTGCCCCCCTTGACCGGCACCGGCACCTTCTCCACGAGGCGGGCCATCTCGACCTTCTCCTCCTCACGGACGGGGATGTACTTGAACTCGTTCGACAGGGAGAATAGCCGGAGCAGCTCGATGTCGGACATCATGGGCCTGAGGTGGTCGTTGAAGGTCGCGATGGACGGGTGACGGATGTAGTAGTGGCTGGCCACACGGCCCAGCGCCGTGACCTGCACCTGTGAAGGGGCCCTGGGACACACAAATAGATACACACAAATAACAGGATTCCCAATGCTTTCCAACATTTTCTGGGTTTTTGTCTTCCCCCCACTTCCCATATTTTCCCATACTTTCTGGGGAATGGGCGATCAATTGTGCCTGTGTGTTTTTTCCCTCCTGAACCTGGCCCGTGCGCTTGTCGTACTTGATCAAATTGTTTTTGTCAAGCATCATCAGGGCACTGTGGACCAGGTCGACGCGGCGCTGCTCAAGCAGGCGGTCCTCCTCCGCCTCGTCTGGCGAGATGCCGTATAAGCGGGGGTCGCGCATCATGCGCACGTAAAGGTACGTGTACCCGAGCCAGTTCACCGCGTCCTGGCGAGTCTGGATGGTGCCAAGCACGAGCTCGGCGTTGATGAGGTCGGGCAGGGCGCTAAGGAGCTGGGACTCGATGGGCAGCTGCGCGCAGTTCAGCGACAGGTAATACTGCAGCTCGCTGTGTTGAGTAATCACAATGCCGTGCCCCGTCTTGTCGTACTGCGGACGACCCGCGCGCCCCACCATCTGCATCATGTCCATTGGGGACAGCTCGTCCCACGCGCCCTTCTCGGGGTTGTAGACCTGGGTGCCCTTGATGATGACGGTGTGCGCGGGCAGGTTCACGCCCCACGCGAGCGTGGCCGTGGAGACGAGCACCTGGATGTGGCGATCCGCATACAAATCCTCGATCAGTTTCCTGTCTGTGCGCGGCAGGCCCGCGTGGTGGATGGCGAAGCCGTACGGCAGCAAGTCCTTCACCTCCTGGGTTTTGATGGACTCGACCTCTGTCTGCAAGATCTCCCTGGAGGCAGAGTCCTCGTGCAAGAACTTCGCCAGGGTGTCGTTCTGCATGGCCAGGTCGCGCAAGCAACTCGCGGTCTTGATTGTCTCCTTGCGGGAATGCACAAAGATGAGCACCTGATTCTTCCCGGCGTTCTCCATCAGCTTCTCATAGCACACATCGTTCATGGTGTTGAATCGCTTGATTGCCTTCTTGTCGGTGATCCCGATGTACGACTGCTCCAGGGGCACCGGGCGGTACTGGATCCCAAAGTAGTGCAAACCTTTTTCTGGGTTGACGCGCAGGAAGATAGCCACGTCCTCGTAGTTGGGCAGCGTGGCCGACAGGCCGACGAGGCGGATGTGCTCCTGCGTGGTCTCGATCTGCCGAATGGTGCGGGCGACGATGGCCTCCAGAACGGGACCGCGCTTGTCGTGCAGCAGGTGGATCTCGTCGATTATGATAAGCCTCACGAGCTGAGTGTAGGCCCGCTGGTCGCCAGCCTTCCGGGTGATGATGTCCCACTTCTCGGGAGTCGTTACGATGATCTGGGTCTCGTCGATCTGCGCCTTCGTTAGGTTGACGTCGCCGCTGAGCTCGCGGATGATGACGCCATAGCTCTGGAGGCGCTGCTGGAAGCTCTGCACCACCTCCTGCACCAGTGCCTTCATGGGCGCCACGTACACACACTTGAAGCCTGCCAAGTCGAAGGAGCCGTCTTTCAGCCTGAACTGTGACATGACATTGAGAATCGTCAGCATGGCGCAGTTGGTCTTGCCGCTGCCCGTGGGGGCGCAGATGAGCATGTTCTCTTGGTGCTCCTGAAACGCGCACTGGTACACTCTGCTCTGGACGTAATTCAATTTGGTGGTGCCTGGGAAAGCCTCCTTTCGGGGAGACGTAAGACCCGGGTACGGGGGACTCGGAAATCCCCGACGAGGTCGTCAAAAAAATGACGAGGCCGAGCCTGCATTTTGACGAGGCCTCCCGCTGCAGACATCCCACAAAACTCCTCCTCGTCAAAATCCGAGTCGCGGTCGTCAAAAAACGATGGCGAACCCGAGTCCCGGCAAACCCGGGTCTTACGCTCCCCCGATCCTTGCACCAGCCGGGAAGCTTGGAGATGGGCACCATGTCCTCTGGGTTCATCTCGGGGGCCTTGTAGGGCTTCACGTGGACCTCCTCGTAGCCCTTCTTCTGCACGCGGAAGGCCCCAGGCGGGAGTTGACACTTCGTGTTGGCCATGAAGTGGCTCCCGCGCTGGAAGGCGAGGCTGTCCAAGTCCAGCATGTGCGAAGGCTTCTTCTGCTGATCCTCGGCCACCCTCGCGCCCTTCTTGCCGAGGGGCGCGCCAGCGTCCTCGTCCATGGCGTCCCGGTCCTGCCGGCCGGCGCGCATCTGCAGTTCCCTCACCTCCTTGCGGAGGTCCCTGGTCACGTCCCTCTCGCGGTCGCGCTTCTTGGACGCTCTGTCGAGCTCCTCTAGCACAGGCTGCGCCTCGGCCGTCTGGCGCATGTCGTCCATCACGGCAGCCTTCTCCTCCTCCGTCTGCGCCTGACCAAGTCGGGTGCAGTACAGAATCTTGAGCCTATTCTTCAGCAGCAGTTTCGTAAACTCGAAGTTCTCGTACTGGAGCACCTGCACCAGCCTGTTCTCGCATTGCTGCAGGTCCTTGATCGGCAGGATCGACAAGATTTCTTTCTCCGTGGCGATGCACTTGTTCGGGTCGGAGAAGATCTTACCCAACTCACGCTGCAGCCAGTGGGCGTCGATCTTCTGGATGTCGACGAGGTACTTCTCCTCCTTCTTCTGTTCCTCCTCCTCGTCCTCCTCCTCCAGCTGTGCGACGTGGATGCCGCGCTCCTCCTTCTCTGCATCCATCGCATCTTCGTCGTCGTCATCTTCATCGTCATCGTCCCCGATCTCGCCGACGAACTGACCTTCCTGGTCATCCTCGTCGTCCTCGTCGAAGACGACGGCGACGCCAGCGGCATCGTCGAGACCCTCCTTGGTCCTGACGGTGTCGTCCTGCTCCTCGTCCTCCACGTCCGCGCCGAAGTCCGTGATCTGCTTGGCCAGGCGGAAGAGCTCCGCGAAGTACTCGTCAGTGACAGACCCCAGCACCTCCTCCACGTCCTTCTTGCGCTCGGAGTCGAGCACGCCGTCCGTCTTGATGGCCGCGAGCACCTCGTCGGCGGCACCCCGCAGGACGTCCGGAGCCTGGTCGCCGAGAGGCTGCTGCAGGCGATTGAGCAGCTGTTCGTAGACTGCCTTCGTCTGCTGGGTGCGGGGCCTGTAGATCTGCATCTCTGTCACGTCCGTGCTCAGCACGGTCTCGCCCTTCAGGATGTCCATCTTCGCCTTCTTCTGCACGACGGACTCGCCCGCCTTGGCCCGCTCCTCCTGCTTGCGCTTCTTCTTCTCCTTCAGCTCCTCGAGTTCCTTGGGCTTCTCGTACTGCACCAAGTCACCCATCTTGTTGTAGACCCTGCCGCGGAGCGACTCGGGCTCTCCAGTCGGCTCATTCTGTGACGGGGCGGCCCCCTCTCGCTGCAGCACCAAGTTGGAGTTGGTGCGGTACTCGAAGCGCTTGAACTTCGCGAACTCCTCCGCCATGGCTTCGAGAAGCGGCCCGCCGCGGCGGCCACCGCTGGCCGCGGGGCTGACGGCACGGCTCGGCGCGCCTCCGTCGAGCAGACGACTTGAGCCCAAGTGGCCACCGACCCCCTGGAGCTGCCACGGCATGCAGCATGTCCTCACTCCTCCCCCGGGTAAAGCTGCCAGCAACGTGTCCTCAAGCCCCTGACCTTATTATGCCAGCTGAATGGCCTCACGCCCCCAGGTTTACATCCGCCAGCAAGGCGTCAGCACTCCCTGGCTCAAAACTGCCACCAACATGTCCTCACCGCGTAAGTTAAACCTGCCAGCTTAGCGAGGTATTCTCATTCCCCTGGCCCTGGAACAGCCAGTCGCATATGTTCCCCCCTCGCTGAAAACTGCCACAAACATATCCTGCACCCCTGGTTTCGCACGATCGCCAACTATCCTCCCCCCCTGGCTTAAAGCTGTTATAATCGACACACATATGCAGCTCTCTGACTTAAGCCTGCAAATCCAATACCCTCACCCCTTTGGCCCCAGGACTGCCAACGAAATGCCCTCAAACCCCGCCTGACTTTCCTGATTTGCCTGTTGCCCTCAAGCCTTGGCTTAGAACGGACACCAGCATATCGCTACCCCCGGCTTAACGCTGATAGCAAACAATCCGCACCAACTGGGGGTGGAACTGCGATATAGGAATTCAGTTCAATTCAGTTCAGCCCACCTCACGAAAACAAGCTTAATAGCTCTGCCCGTGAATAATTGTGTATCGTAGCCTGGCTTCGGGCCACCCATCTGGAAGCTCTCTTGGGGGCCTACAGGGGCTGTATTGGAACTCTCCTGGGGCCCTCCGACCAAAAAATGTGGGGTCTCCAAGGACCTTCTTGGGGTTTTACCGGCCGGTGTGTGTGTGTGAGACGCTATCGTCGTCTTCGTCGTCGTCGTCACTCGCAAGGAAATTTCAAAACGAACAGAGATAACAAACGTCGCATCTAAGTCGAAGCCCTCCCCTTTTCCCCTCCCTGACGGGGGAGGGGGGGAAAGGGGCTCGGGGGGTGGGGGGGGCGAGTAAGGGGGGGGGGGCTCGAATCAGAGCCCCCCCTGGGGGCCTGGCGGCCCTCTCTCCGCGGACCCCCCTTGTGGAAACAAATGCAAGGGGTTGGTCTCCCTGTCGGCAGGGGAGGTCGGGCAGTACTCCAACCCCCGCCTCGGCCCCGCTCCGGCCCCGGTCCCAGCCCCGGCCGTGGCCCCGGCCCCCACGCCGTCGCCCTGGCCCCGGCTCTCTGACCCTGGCTAACCCCAGCTCGGGCCCCAGCCAACGGCCCCTCCCGGCCTCGGCTCCGGGCCCTGGCCCTGGCTCACCCCCATCTTTAGCCCTAACCGCGACCCCGTCCCCGAGGCCTGGGGGCCTCGGGGCCAAGGCCCCGTCGCCTCCCAGAAGCCCGCCCCCGAGGAGACACAAGGCTCATCCCTCCTCCTCCTCCTCCCCCTCCTCCTCCTCCTCCTTCTCCTCCTCTTCCTCCTTTTCGTCCTCCACCTTCTCCTCCTTCTCCTGTTCCCCTTTCATTCGTTCACCATCACTCAGGCGAACCTCCACGGCGCTAAACAATATCACGTTTTGCCTGTCTTCTAATTTTGCCCTGGCTGGGCCGAGGATAAGAGAAGTCGCGTCGAGGCTGGGCCCGCGCTTGCGCATGGCACAACCGTCGAGTTGCGCAGGCCCGGGCCAGGCGGTGGGGCGAGCGCGGGTCGACGTCGCAGAGCCGAACAACCTCGCCGATGCCTCCCCCACGCCAGGCGCTGGGCCAGCCCAGCCTCGATGCACCCAGGAGCCACCGCGACACCACTGCGCTCGCGCAGCAGGGGCGAGCGGGCGGGGAAAAACGCATCCCGTTAGCGGGGCGGCCAGGCGGGAGGCGAATCGTGACGACCTGCGGCGAGAACGCGCTCGCGGGCGCGCGGGGTGGGGGTTCGCCTCAGCTGAATATAGCCGTCCCGCAGCATTGGAGACAAGCAAAAAGAATAGCCACAAGCGGGCCTCGGTGCCCCGCCGCGACTTCTCCCCGCGCTCAAGAGCTGCCCAGAGCGCCCACGAGAAATCGCGTCGAGGCTGGGCCCGTGCTTGCGCATGGCACAACCGTCGACCGGCGCAGGCCCAGGCCAGGCGGTGGCGCGAGCGCGAGTCGGCGTCGCGGAGCCGAGCAACCTCGCCGATGCCTCCCGATGCATGCTCGGCGGACCGACGCCCACGCGCGTTCCCAGCAGACCGCAAATGCCTGGTCTGCTTGACTCACGGCCTGGGCGGCCCCTGCACCGCCTTCGCGGCAGTCGGCGCGTCCTGCGCGCCACGCGCCGCCGCGGGGCCCCGACCCCGATGCCTGCATCGGGCCGGGCAAAAGGGGGGATAGCAAAAGGGGGGTTTGAGAATCAACTCGCGTAGCCGATTTTCCTGGCGCCGGGAGGCGCCCATGCATCGAGGAATGGGCCTGGCGGCGGGGCCGAAACCAGCTGCGTGATTTCGTACCCCCCCTGCCCCTATCCCCCCCTTTCGTTCGGCCCGAATGCAGGGCGGCGCCTCGTCGGAATCGGAGTGCGCAATCTCGGCTTCTGCCGCCAACGCCATGGCTCTCGTCTTCGCGGCCTGGTACCTGCGCGCCGTGACGCGCCGCGCCATCACGACCCCGGGCAGCGCGGCCGCGCCCCCCTTCCACATGGGGCGCCCGGACGCGGCCACAGATCTCCACCCCCCTTCGAAGAACGGCGCAGCTGGCCCCCCGGCGCGGAGCGCCTGCGCGCGAGAGACTCGAACCGCGCGCGAGCCCCGGGCGAGCGGGGGCGGGGGGGGGGCCCGCCTGGTCGGCCCGGTCGCGTCTAAAGCAATGCGCCCCCCACTCCAGCGCACGATGGGACCCGCGGTGAGCAGTCTGTCCACGCAATTGACGTCTGGCACGAGCTGCTCGCCCGGCCGGAGCGCATGCCGACTGATCATGCAAGCCGCGCACAGCCGATTGCCCTGGAGCTGGCGTGCGCATACCTCCAGACCTCGCGACGCGGCATCCCTGGGGCGAGTTCCGCCGCGCGCGCGGCCCGCCGGGTCGGGGGCCGCTCTCCCCCTCCGCCGGCGGAGCTGCACCTGCACCTGGTGCTTTCCTTCGTCCACGTGGAGCGAGATGCCACCATGTCCCGGCGCATTTCATCCCACGACTTCGGAGCCGAAGTGCAAGCATAACTACCAGCACATGACGAATGCGTCGGCCATATCGCTGCGCCCGATCTGCCAGCCGCCAGGCCCGCCGGCCAGCACGCGCAGCAGGCCGCCTAGTTAGTTGAGCGCGCGCGGCCGCGCCTCGCGCAGCCAATCCGACTTCGCGCGAACGCCCCCAGCCGTGGCGCGTGCGCAAAATCATTTCGCACCTGGCGGCTCCGCCTGCCGCCGCCGTGGAGCACGCGGGCGGCGCGCGCAGTGGCCGCGCCTTCGGGGCACCGAATATCAAGGTCCGCGTATCCGCCAAGGACCCTGTCTCTGCGCAGAGCAGATGCAAGACCGAACGCATGCCCTGCAAATAATGTGACAGGGTCCCCGGACGGCGACGGGGCGCCACCATCATGTCCCGGCGCACGGCGGCCAGGGCGGGGTGCCCGCCGCCTCGCACGCCTGGCCGTGCAATTCCACCGTCGATGCATATGGGTACGCCGGGAGCTTCCACGCGTGGAACTTTCGCCACAATGCGGCCATCTGAATCCGGCGCACGCATTCCAGCCCTGCTCGCCGCCGACGGGGTGTTCCTGGCACCCGCTGCGCGCGGGTGGCCGACCTCGCGCGCGCTCCCGGCGGAACGCCGCCTTCGCTTGCGAATATTGCGGGCGGGGCCTGGAGTTTCGACAGCTGGCTGATTGCTTCTGCCAGCGTCGGTGGCGCTGGTACCTCCGCGCCGCGAGCGGTGCGCGAGACGGGTGGCGCCGTGCCGCGGTGCCTGTCGCGCCTGCCTCGCCGCCGAAAGTAACGCGAGAGCTTCTTGAGGCGTCGAGCCCTCGCTGGGCAGGCGCTTCGCTCGCAAGCCCGGGGCCGGCGCCGGGCGCTTGGCCGTCACCTCGAGCATTGTTTCCGCGCCTACGCGCCCGCGCGGCAGCGTGCGTCGCCGGGGCGGACAGGCGGGGGGCGAAACATGCATCCCGTCAGCGGGGCGGCCAGGCGGGAGGCGAATCGTGACCACCTGCGGCGAGAACGCGCTGGCGGGCGCGCAGGGTGGGGGTTCGCCTCAGCTGAATATAGCCGTCCCGAAGCATTGGAGGCAAGCAAGAAGAATAACCATAAACCGGCCTCGGTGCCCCGCCGCGACCTCTCCCCGCGCTCAAGAGCTGCCCAGAGCGCCCATCTAAACTACAACAGAACACCAGCTTCTGTGCGCCGAGCATCCAGCACAAGGCTGATGCACCTGCTTCGGTGCCCGCGAGGGGGCTCGGCTAGATCTCTCTTCGGAATTCAGCTAATCGGAAGTGCTGTACTCCAGTTCGACCCCTAAGTTCACACGAAGTGCTTTAACCAACCAAAGCCTAATTGGGGTGCAGAGGTGCGCACTGACCGAGGAAAACGCTCGATTACTGTATGTCTACGAGCACATCAGATCGCCTCGGAGCTGTTGGCCGAAGGCCAAAATCGTGACGAGCCGAACCAGATGGGCTCGTGGCGGCAGGCATACCCTGAGGCAAAGCCTGCATCCTAGGTTAGAATCCAAAGCCATTCGCGCTCCAGGCTGAAATATCTCAATGCAGAACAGCCAGTCGCTCTCCAGGTTGAAGTAATTTTGCACAAATCCTCCAGGCCACCTTGGCCCTCACTGCGGTTGGTGAGCCCAGACATCTCTGATCTAAACGGAGGTGCCACGGCGGCGCTTCCCCAATCGCTTACGACTCTATCATGCTGGCAAGTCCTTCTTGGGGAGACTAACGCTTGCGACCTCCTCATATCCGACGCGCGAAGTTTCCTCGCGGCGCCTTGCCTGGCGTCGCGCTGCATCCAGCAGCTCTCAGGACCTCAGAAAACACTTCTGTCAATCGTGATGATGCCCCCCTTCTGGGGCTCAGCGTGGCCGTGGGGATCTCGTTCGGCGACGTTTGCTTGATCGGGTGATCGCCCTCTTGCAGTAGTGCCTCCAGTAGCTGCTTCTCGCATTCGTCGTCTGCGGGCAGTAGCGTGCCCTGCCAAGTGGCGCGCGAGCCTGTTCCTCGCGTCTTCGCCAAGCTTGTCATGCGTTGGCAGGCGAAGCAGTTTCAGTACAGAGTCCGCTGCGCTCTCTGGCGGCCCCTTCCCCAACGCGCTGCGCACTCGCCCCGGAACCCGAGCGCCGCTGCCGTCGCTCCGACGCGTCCGCGAAGGATCAGTTCTCGAAGACGTGCAGAATCGCGGAGAGGCCGTGGAAGCTCGGGGCGCTTATGTTACTCTCTGGATTCTCCCTGCGCTTCTTGATGAAGTCCTGGTGCGCCGTGATCGCCGTCTTCGCGATCGGGCTGCCGCGCTGAGTTAAGGCCGCGTTGGGCGCCTGATCTTCTAACGTCCGAACCCAGGCCTGGAGCTGAAAGAGAAGGGCCCCCACGTCCGCGCCCACGACGCGGGCGTCCTGCTTGTCGGGCTCCACCTGCATCTTCTGCCCCCTACTCTCCGGGCCTTCTCGCGCCGTCCTTGATGCGCCGCAAAACTCGCCCCCCTGGGTCGCGCGAGCCACTCTTTCTTGCCTGCCACCGCCGCCGCTGCCGCTGCCATCTAGGGGCGCCGTTCGCCAAGACGACAGTTGCACCCTGGATGCTGCTCGCGCTGCCTGAATGCTTGCCGCGACGGGAGTGTCGCGAGCAGGCCGGATATGGGAAGGATCAGGCAATAACTCATGTAGGCGATGCTGACAATGCTCGAGCACTTCACTTGCCGCGTCGGATTCAAATTCGCACACTGGGCATTATGGCGGCGATGGCAAGCTGGACGCAGACTCGAACCACCCCCGGCCCTGTGGGGAATCTCCACGCGTGAAAGTGGCCACGACGCGTCCCCCTGCAGTTGTCGCCCCCTCGTGACAGCGCGGCATACTGGACGTGCATTCGTCATGGTAACTATAGAACGAACATGTACTCTACCATGTGTGCCTCCATCTGTAGTACACATGTGTGATATGAGCTGCTGTTCAGCACTCCGCAATGTTCCATGTACCTTTCCTTTTGCCGCTAGAGCTGTACATTCGCATCCTTGATCAGCTGCGCTCTGACCCTGAAGTGGTTCGCCTGGCGGAGCAGCGAAATATGCCGCGCGGGGCTCGAAGTCGAACTTTACCGCATAATATGGCTGTTGACACTTGATTTTGAATATGTTACGAACGCGCTCGGTAAGAAGTGCAATGCCGTATTCAGTCGCTATGAGAGAGCCCATGTCAGCTTGGAACTGTCGCCCCCGTGGGTGGGCTGTCGGAACCGCCCTCCTCCGCGCGTCGAACGGACCCCAATCTCCTGCCATGCGCCCGAATCATGCTGCTAAGTACTGTGCGTTCTCTCCCCTTGTTGTCATCATGCTGCGAAGCCACTTCGCCCTTCGAATGCGCAGCGCCAAAAACATGGGGCCAATTTAAACTTGCGCAGCACCTCTCCTGAGGCGCGTGAACTACATGTCCTGCGTCTGGGGAAAAAACTGCCGCGCCGCTGAGGATAGCCCTGCACTCTTGAATGAAGAACCTCTGCGTGGGCTGAAGGCCCCGCGGCACGAGTGGCCCTCGAGGTCGGGCGAGCATTTCAGCTCCGCTGAGCGCGGCGCTCACTAGCAGCACCTTCGCGAGGCTATTCTTGAAGCGAAAAGTTGTCGAACTGTGCCGGAATTTGCCTCGGCTGAAGAACGCCTCTCTGGGTGGTGCTAGTTGTCTGCTAAGTTCAGGTCCCCAAGTGAACGCAGCCGCCCGGTGGCCTCCGAGGTGCCGGATGCGATGCTCGGTGGCCCCCTGGATCTGAACTTCTCCCCTGCCAAGGCTCTGCCTAGAGGGTTCTTACTCTCTTTCTTAAAGGGGCCGGGCAGTGCACTCCGCCCCGGCCGGTTTCTCCAGCATCCGCCCCGCGGTTCCCCCAGTCCCCTGGGAGCTTTAGCTTGCTCTAGCTTTAGCTTTAGCTTTAGCTTTAGCTTTAACTTTAGCTTAGCTTCAGCTTAGTTTTAGCTTTGCTTTAGCTTTAGCTTAGCTTTAGCTTAGCTCTAACTTAGTTTTAGCGTAGCTTCCGCTTAGCTTCAGCTTAGCTTTAGCTTAGCTTTAGCTTAGCTTTAAGTCAGCTTCAGCTTAGCTTTAGCTTAGCTTCAGCTTAGCTTTAGCTTTAGCTTTAGCTTTAGCTTTAGCTTAGGCTTTAGCTTCGCTTTAGCTTAGCTTTAGCTTAGCTTTAGCTTAGCTTTACCTTAGCTCTACCTTAACGTTAGCTTAACTTTAGCTTAGCTTCACCTTAGTTGTAGCTTAAGTGTAGCTTAGCTTTAGCTTAGCTTTAGCTTAGCTTCAGTTTAGCTTCAGCTTAGCTTCAGCTTAACTTTAGCTTAGCGTTAACTTAGCTTTAGCTTAGCTTTACCTTAGCTTTATCTTAGCTTCAGCTTAGCTTCAGCTTAGCTGTAGCTTAGCTTTTGCTTAGCTTTTACTGTTACTACTAATGCTGCTTTCCTAAGGGCTCCAACTCCTAGGTAGGGTCGCACTGGGATGATTTTAATGAATGAGTCGGGGTACTGCATGGGCTCCAGTTCCCCCCAGATAGCAAGCGGTTTCGCGCTTGCCAATGATTCGCGACGCTCCAATTTCATCCGCTTGCGCCCGCTGCATCCCGCGCTTCGCCCCCCCCCCCCCCCACCCACCCACCCGCGCCCACGCCCCGCCCACGCACGCGCGCGCGGCCGCGCGCGCGCGCGCCGCCGCCGCCGCGCGCGCGCGCACGCACGCGCGCACGGCACGCACACACACACACACACACACACACACCACACACGCACACGCACACACACACGCACAACACACACACCACACACACGCACACACAACACACACACACGCGCACACACACACACACACACGCACGCGCACACGCACACGCACACACACACACACACATACACACACACACATCAGCTGCTCAGACATGCCCCCACCCACCCCTCCCCCCCCAACTCTGGGACCTTGGGCGAGACGTCATCTGCGAACCCCGTTCCGCACCCCCGCCCTAACGCGACCAGCGCCTTGGTTTGTTCCTGAAGCTCCCGCGCGAATCCAATCCCAGACGCGGGCCGCGTCCTCCTTTCACTTTCCCGCATTAGAAGAAGAGAAGTCGCGCCCCTTCCAGGGGGGCGCTCCGCGCAAGCCGCGTGCGCCAATCCTCCGACGCCGCGCGGGTCGCCTCCGTTCCTCGACGCCGCGGCCGTTGTTCTGCCTGAACATATGCCTCGACCTCCTCTTTCGAGCGCGGGCGCGCCGGGCGTCATCCGCCCTGTGCTTTGCTTCCAGCTGCGTGCGAAGTGCCCGCTGCGTCGCCGTCGCCGACAACGCGGGCGCAGCTGCGTGCCGCCTCTGCCTTGAACCGCGTCGTTTGCCCGCCATGAGCCCAGACAGCTCGTGGACTTGATATCCACCGCGGGCGGCCAGCGCCTCCTGGAGCTCAAGACATCTTCTCTCGTCCGCATCAAATATCTCCTCTCTCGATTTTTCAACCACTGTCCAAGGTAACTCATTCTATTCTTCTACATGCCCCATTGAGCACTGACTCATCAACGCCCTCGCGCCGTTCCTGTCGCGGTTGTCGCATGTCAAGGAGTGGCCGTCGAAGTTCGGCGGCGCTCTCTGCTCTTGCCGGCGTCTGAAGCGGGCTTTCCGGAGGAAAAACTTCAGTCGCCAGGTCATGCGCAATATTAATGAATGGCTCGTTCAGTCCATTTACGTCCCAGTATAAACGCAAGGCTCGACCTCGTCGTTTCTTTCCAAGGCCTGCTTCTCCATTGTTTCGAAGAGCTCCTCTCGTATATATATATATATATATATCCCTCCTGCGCGCTTCGATGCATTGCCTTTCGATTGGGGCGTTATTCTTTCTGAAACTTCGGCTTCGGCGGTGCACCGAATACGATGGGCATCTGTATCAGGCGGTAATCTCTGGCTGACGCTGCGCCGTGATGCTGTGGCCTGCGGCGTGACCTCGCCACTGCACGGCGTCGTTCCACATCGCAAACCGCTGAGCGAGGTATCAGCGTATGATAGACGCGCGATTCTCGGTGCAGTCCTACATGCGTGCCAGGGTTCACAAAGTATGACTTAGCACTGGGCGCGTCCCCATTTTGCGAATAGCTGTCGCAGCGCTGTAGTCGAAGGTGCGGGAGCCCACCGCCCATGTCTGTGAATAATATTATAGCTGTATTATAGCAGCTGCGCTGCGCGAGGCCAAGAACTGCAAGGCACTGTCTATCCATTCAGCCATGGCCGTCAGTGCCTTATCGCATGCCGCCTTGCCCCATCTCACCTGAATGTCTCGGCGCCACGCGTGCTGCTACGAGCCCGAGGGGCTAGTCTCCGTTGGCGACGAGGGCTGCGGCTGCTCTTCCCCGCAGCTGAGGCGGGACTGGCACGATGCTTCGAGGCCGACCCCTCTTGAACCTGCCGCTGCGAAACAACGAGCGCACCCCGCAAATCGCATTCGTGAGCCTGCCCTTGGCACATCCGCGTTCCGAACTCCGATATCCCTGAACCTGCTTACTCTACTTCCACTGCTTGCCCGCGTCGCGATTCTGCGTGCTTATCAGTGCGAACGCATCGCGACGACTGGGTAACTCATGAATCACATCCGTCATTTTCGATGTAGAGTTGCACGCGCACGGGTGGTAGCCACTAACACGAAGTAGTCTCACCTTCCAATGAGCTGCGTCTGCGGGACGAAGGCGAAACCGCCTCTGCCCAAGAGGAGCCTATCCCCATCGCGGCCCGCGCGCTTGGTTTGGCGGAGGACGCTTAGCTGGCATGACCTCTGGCTGTCCACGTTTCGACCAGCCAGCCCCCCCTCTTCCTCCTCTTCCCCCCCATTCCGTTTCCTTCTAACTTGCCCCTCCACGTCGCACCCCTGGGCCAGTCGAAAGGGCGGGCCGGGCGTTCCGCCTAAGGCGATCTCGCCAGTTAAAATCCTAAAGCTCAGCATCTGACCGCAACTTCGCAAATGGAGGGCGGGCCGTTCTAAAAATGTAGCCGTCGCCTGAGCGCCGCGCACATTCGTCTCTGCAGTTGCAAGATTTTCACTGTTTGAGGGCGGGCGGTTTTCAAAATGCGCCCCCCCTGGCGCTGCGCACTTTCGCCATGACAAACTCCAAGAGTTTTTCGGCTTGAGGGCGGTGGGTTTCCAACGCGCAGCTCTCGCCTTAGCGCCGCGCGCATTCGTTGACAAAGGTGCAAGAGCTTTACGGATTGAGGGCGGGTGGCTTTCAACGTGCACCTCTCGCCTTAGCGCCACGCACATTCGTTGGCAAACTTGCAGGAACTTCACGGTTTGAGGGCGGGCGCGTTTCAACGTGTGGCTCTCGCCTGGGCTTTTCGTTTTCAAACCGTGGCTCTCGCCTTAGCGCCGCGCGCATTCGTTCATCAAGATTTGCAAGAGCTTCACGGATTGAGGGCGGGTGGTTTTCAACATGTGGCTCTCACCTTAGCGCCGCGCACATTCGTATAAAAGTTGGGGGAGCTTCACGGATTGAGGGCGGGTCGTTTACACCATGTGGCTCTCGCCGTAGCGCCGCGCGCATTCGTTTCAGAGAATTGCATAGGTTTCACTGATTCTCATGGTTAGCGTACCAGAAATGGCGTTTTGGGGCGGTTCAGGATTGTCAGGGCGCAACAGTTACATTGACTCGCGGTGTTGAAGTCCCAGGAATGGTGTTCTGGCACGGTTTAGGATCGCCAACACGTAACAGTCAGGTTAACTCGTGTCGTTGAAATCATGGGAATGGCGTTTTGGCATGCTTGAGGGTGTTCACACGCTTGTCCCCGAACGTGGACATTCCCTGTGAAACAATCAATTGTGAGAGCCTATGGTCAGGGATCGTGGAAGGATTGTTTTTTTTTATTTTTATAAAAAAACGTTGACGATCCTTGGGTTTACACTTGTCCTCCTTCTCCTCCTCCTCCTCCTTTTCCCCCCCTCCTCTTTCTCCTCCTCCTCCCCTTCCTCTCCCCCTCCTCCTCCTCCTCCTCCTCCTCCTCTTCCTCTTCCTCTCCTCCTTTTTCTTCTCCTCCTCTTCCTCCTCG